TACAACATTGTTCATGCTTCGGAGGATGTAATCCCAATCTGCTGCATCTGGAGACCCGGGGATCCACTTCCATGCAGATCCAATCCTGTCGATGAAACGTCTTCTTCGTGACTTACTTATTTGCAGCTCCTCAAGTCGCAGCTTAGTTTGGTTTAGGTGGAATTGCAGCACGGTACGCACAGCTTCGCTTCTGATATCGTGCTGTGTTGAGTTGATCAATTTCTTCAACGCCATTTTGAAGTAGTTAAGGTCGACCATATGGACTAAACTGAAGTGTCCGTTCAGAATCCAACCACGCCCATGTTAAATAGTGACCAGTGTAAATATTGAGGCCACAAACGCCAGATATTAAAAGTAAACTGTCTTACCATCATGATTGAGGGAAAAACAAAAATTAGAATTTCTTAAATTAGCATTGGCCTGTTTCGATGCTTATTTCTCTCTTTTTTATATTTTTTCTAACTTTTCTATTTCTTTCTTCCTAACTTTAATATTTTTTATCTTCAGGGACGGAGGAAAGAAAAGCATTTTTAATAAGTATAAGTAATTAAATGGTTGCATATTATCCTTTTCTTAAATAGTGGTTAGAAGTTGTTTAAGTTATTTAGTAAAGGTTAGTGAACCATATTTTGAAATTATCCTTAATTAGTTGAGAAGATGTCCAGAGGTTTTTAAACTTATTTATCAAAAGATAATGAGCATTATCTGAAAATTATTCGATAATCAAGACAAAGAGAAAAATTACATTTAATTAATATTTTTATATTTTTGTTAGCAATATTTTTCGAAATTACGCTACAATCAAATTTTTGTTTTTCGTTGTACATCGGTATATTCTTATATGTACTACCGTCCCCGATTCTCTAAACCATGTAATTGGAAAATCCACAGGATCCAAGAATATTGATAAGAGAAACACTTTTTTGTTACAGATTTTGAGCAGTTTTGTATTACTATTTCAGGTATGCCGTTACGAGTGACTTTCTTAGGGTCCTGTGGCTTTACCAAACTTGCGGTAAAGGAGTTGGTATCAAAAAATAAAAAAATTTAGTGTGTTTTTTTGTTTTTGTTCTTTTTTGCTCGGAAAAATTTGCCTCTTTTTGTAAGCGTTATTATGTCTAGGCTAAGTGATTTGTCATGGACAGCTTTTGCCTATTTAATTAAACCATTACTGCTTTTTGTTTAGTCTGTGCTATAATAGTTTTTATTATTTTGTCTTCCGACATTCGGAAAAATTAGACTTTTTGTTGTGTGCTCCTTTTATGTGTGCCTTATGGATGTTCCTACCACTGTCTGTAACCAAGGTCGCCCTATTATCCTTACCAACAATTACCTTTTCGTAAAGTGCCTTCTGCTTCGCCTTTATCTGTTTATCCCTAACGTAAACCTAATTTGTTCCCTGATTTCTTTGTGAACCCTGTTTTTGAAGTCGGTCAGTCCTTGGTAGTTAATTCTTTATATTTCAATCCACAGACCTCTTATATAGTTACATGCCAAAGGAGTCATGAGTCCCCTCTCGTTGTCGGTTACTATCATTTTAGGAGTTGTAAAGTAATGGACTAGTTTAGCTAGCTTGGCGCGAATAGTGACGGATGCTCGGTTTTTTATGTGGAAAAGTTTTGCGAATTTGGAAAATTTATCTATGCAGGATAAACATTTTTCTCCTTGAATTTCGAATATGTTCACATGCACAATTTCGCATGGGTATTTTGGCACCGGAGTGTCTTTCATCGGCGGTACTGGAGGATGCCTATCATATTTGTTTGCGAGGCAGGTTTCACAAATGTTGGTGAATTTTTTTATCCGGCTCAACATTTTGGGAAAATAGTATTTTTCTAGGATTTGCTCTTTATTTTCCCTCGAGTTCCTATGAGCCCTCCTATGTTCGTCCCCTATTACTCTACAAATTCTATCTTCGTTGGCAACATCTTTGACCACCCTCTGCGTTATCTTGATTTTGTAGATAAGAAAATGTTCCAGATACACTTCTTGCAGAAGATGTAAATTATTCTCTGGAATTTTTACTCCGTTTATAAGAAATGGGTTTAAACGTTCTTTTAAGCCCTCAGTTAAGTTGGGTTTTTCAATGATAGCTAAACTGACATACGAGACGAGTGAAACCTGGATGTGGATTTTTCACGCAAATCAGTGTATTCCCTTCCGTAAAAATAATTTGGTTTCGAAAAACGTTTAAAGGACTTTCTGCATGTGGAAAAAGGTCTGACGCATCCTGGCCCGCACTGTGAACTGGCCCCTCTTCGCTTTTAGCTTCTGCTGATAAATCGTTAGGCCCAAACGATGCTGTTAAATATTTTGCCTGGCATGGAATTCTCGAAAGAGCGTCTGACTCAACATTTGGTTTTTCAAGAGTGTAAATCAATTCGTGGTTATACTCTTCTATTCTTGCCTTCCACCTCTTCAACTTTGCGTTATAGTTCCTACTTCCCAACGCAAACGTGAGAGGCTGGTAATCAGTGAAAATTCTAATTTTTTCGCCCATAGAGGTAAGATCTCAAATTATTCAGAGCCCAAACTACTTCCAACATTTCTCGTGGCGTAGTTTTCCTCCGTTCTAGTTAAAGATCTTGAAATGTAGGCGACGGGCCGATCTTTTCCTGGTTCTCCTTGAGACAGCACACCCCTAAGCGTTTGAAATGTAGATAGTAAAGTTAAAAGGTTTTTGGAAATCTAGGAACCAAGAATATCTGAGGAAACGAGTAGTTTTTTTTTTTATCGTAAGCTTGAAGTGCTTCACGGTTCAGATCAATGCATATTCTTTTCGATTGGTTCGCCTTAATATGCGTGTTTCAGTTCTTTTAATGCTTCTGGGGGTGAAAGGTTCTCTATAGCCTGGACCTTCGAAGGATCCAGTTTCATCCCATCAGACGTGATCACATGACCCAGAAATTCTACTTCCATTCTCATAAATTTAGTTTTTTCCAATTTCGCTCTCAAATTAGCGTCCGCGGACCTTTCAAATACTATTTCTATATTTTTTAAATGCTCATCAGTATTTTTTCCAAACTCAATAATGTCGTCAATATACACATAACATATCCTCCCAATATATTCTTTAAGGACATCATCAATCATGCGTTGGAATATAGCCGGCGCATTTTTCAATCCAAAAGCTAGTCTCAGAAATTCGTATTTTCCATTCATGGTTGAAAAGGCGGTTTTGGGTATATCTGAATCCTTCATCGCAATTTGATGAAAGCCTGAGGAAAGATCAATCGTCGTGAAATATTTAGCGTTTCTTAGACTGGTCAGTGTTGCATTAATATCCGGAATAGGATAAGCGTCTGACACGATAACCGCATTCAAACGTTTGAAATCTACTGAAATGTGAGAATTAAACGGACTTTTAGATGGTCGTATGATGCCTTCCTCGAGCAATTCGGTAACCTCTTTCCTCATGTTTGCATGTTTGCGGGATATGGATAACTTTTTGTGTATATGGGCTCATCTGTAGTGGTTTTTATCTGAGCCCGAACTTAGGTTTTGATGATTGTTTTTATATTCAGTGGTCCGAATAAATGGGAGTACTTTTCTACAAGAGACATTAAAGTAGGAACTACCGCCTTAGGATAGAGTTGTCAAATTATCGATGGCACTATCGATAGTATCGATAGTTTCAATTTTTTTAGACTATCAATACTCATTGATAGTTTCTTCTGGTACTATCAAAAATATCGATAGTTTAGTAGGACTATCGATCTATTGTATGTAATACCTGAATTTTTTAATTTGAATTAAAAATTTTGTTTTTTAGTGTGATGCCGACGTCATAATCAAATATGCACGCATTTAGGCCAAAATACATACATATGTTAATCGTAAATCCTGTTTTGTTTGTATAACTTGTGTTTGTTTTTGAACTTTCTAAAAAGAGAAGTATTTTGGCTAAGCAGTTACTTTGAATGATTATAACTTTTGTAAGAAAATATTTATTTCACTATGATCGTGTAAAACCAAGGCAACCTAACTGATTTAGCGCTATCGATAGTCTTGTTTTTTTCGAGACTATCGTGAATATTGATAGTTTTTCGGAAAACTATCAAAAATATCGATGGTGTGACTATCGATAGTTTGACACCTCTACCTTAGAAATTTCAGATGCTTCAGAAAAAGTAATGCTTCCAACTATTTTGTTTCTCAGTAGAATTTTAATGTTCGGCTCGATTGTGAGAACATGATTTTTCCTATCATCTTCTATAATGCCGTCAAAAGATTGAAGTCCTGGTAATATGTAAAAAGTTGTCTTGGTGTCGTTCCCTTCATTATGGAAAAATTTTCCGCAAATTTTCCTGTTTATTAATATTGGTCCTGCCACCATCTGCACCGAGAAGGGTGGATCGACTGGTATTGAACGAGCAGATAGAGTAGGCTTTATGAAATTTTTATTTGCTCCCGTATCTATAAGAAAGTTTAAGGCAGTACTGCTGTTGGTCAGACACCTTAGGTAAGGTATGCTCCTCATATGAAATAAGCTGGTGGCCTGGTCGTCAAAAAGTTTACCTGGTGTGTGTCGTCCTCTGGTAGGGGAAAATCCTCCTAGATTTATCCTCCAAGCGGGTGCCGACTGGGCAATGGGCATCGTTGCGTACACCGCTCTGGCCAGGTAAGCTTGTTCCTATGGCCGCAGCGGTGCAAGCAGGCGGGGCCTAGCCAAGGCCGAGGTATAAACTCCACTGCGTCGTCTAGGTCTAGTGGTAGGCCATACGGGCTCGCCCAAGGGAACTGGGGTGGGCATACTTAGGCTATTTCTAGGGGGTACTATGCGGTAGGGTTAAAACGCCCCCCCTAAACCAGGGTGTCATGCGTCGCCGTGCCCATTGGATGATTTGCAGTCAGGGGGCTTTCCGACTGTATTCTAATGGCGCCTCCCGGATACCAGTCCGCCTGCGGGAGTAACGGTGGACTTACCTCAGCACGGGGCTATGCTGAGGCCGACCGTTTTTTTCCCCTTACCCACATATTCGGTCGCCGAACCAGTTGTAATGAATTCGGAAAATGTAGCCCCGGATCCCTGCACGGGTAAAAATACTACATCTTCGGCAGCCGCTGGGTCGGTCCCGAAGGAGCCTAAACAGCTAACTATACAGAATGTTGCTCCCGGCCTCAGTAGCAACAAACCCCTGGTGAGTAGTGGCCAGCTGGCACCTGGGTTGCAAGCGGAGCCTGCACGGCAAATTGACCTCTAGTGTCAGTCGTCCACACCTCAGATAGATGCGAATACACCCCTTGAGAGTAGTTCCAAAGCGGCACCGGGTGAAGGCGGTGCTGGCACCCGGAAGTCGTGCATGGACAGCACCACCGACCGGAAGCCCCTTGAGGGTAAGAAGTCGGATGAACACAAAGGCGTCCCGCTAAGGAAGTTCGGCAATGACCCGGTTCCCGAGAATATGAGGGAAGTGTTTGAGTGGGCGAGGGGCATTCTCTCCAAAAGTCGTGAGCAAACTCAGGAAGAAAATGCCGCCAACAACCTGCACCCACTCAGTCCCGTCCTAGGGAACATGGATGCTGCTCCTAAGAGGCTCTAACACCAACAGCCCTCTTAACCCTCCAAGGGCTCTGAGGGCTTTCAGCGATGTGGTCAAGGACTACTTGATCTTGGCAGTTATGGATAGGGGACACCCGGAAGGAAACCTGACGGCCTACAACAGGAGGTCCGTCCTGATGGGTCTCTGCCGGGTGTACAAGGAGATTCTCCGGAATGATCCTGGCCCTGCGCCAACTGTCCGCGATGCAGGTCTCTACCAAGGCCGCATCAAATTAATTTCCTGCGCTGATGAACGGTCGGCGTGATTTTATAAGGAAGCAATTTCTTCTCTAAGGGAGCTGTGGCCGCGCGCTGACTTGGTGGCAGTGCACAGGGACGAAATTCCTTGTAAGCCGCGAGCCACAGCCTCGGTCCCAGAGGAACCCTCGAGTCCTGAGGAGATTCTGGACATCATCCAGATCTCAAATGATGTACTACAAGCCCTTGGTTGGTCAGCGAGGTTATATTACGTTCTCATTGAGCCATTAACTCGAGTTTAACGTTTTGAGTTTATGAACAACTGTCAAGCGTTCACATTGGGGTGTTTAAGAAACTCAGAGTTTAATTTGACATTTTTTTGTTTACTTTTTCTTATTCTCATTTAGTCTGTTCCCATACTACACGAGTTAACACAGACACACATAAGTCTAGAATACCAACCGTTTACCTATAAAAAAAACAAGCTTTTGACGCAAATTTCAACCATACCAAAATTATTTGGTGCAAATAAAAACCAAAGCCAATAAAAGAGGTTAAAGTTCAACTTAACTATTTCTTATATGTTTTATATCTCCGAAACTAGTTAACCGATTAAAAAATTATTGATGCTAGTTTCAACATAATTTAAATGCCTTTTATGCAAGGTATATACTATAACCAGTTTTAGAACTTATTTTATATAAACTACATTTAAAAATATATATTTTTATTTAATTGGATTTTTAGTATTTCTGCACTAAAAATAAAAAAAGGCATATAAATTATATAAATACATGAAAGAAAAATTAATTATCTTTATTTTGACGTCATTAGCTTTTTAATAGGTTATGTTGTTGAGAAGATATTAATATTAAAAAAAATCAGAAAATTTAACTTTAACCATTGATATCTTTTTTATATATTAATTTCGCCAGGTAATTTTGGTAGGGTTGAAATCAGCACAAAAAGTTCTGTCGAGCCACATTTTTGGTTTTTGCATGGCTAGATTGTTGATATTCTAGACTTACGTGCACAGAACGACTTCGGACTAATTCTGATTAAATCCTGCAGTACGGGAACAGACTAAGTGTCGGCAAGTTGGTTGCAAGTTTGGATTATCAAAGACACAAACCGAATCGGGTCAAAACAAGGGTTGTATTCGCATAAACTCCAAATAAAAGTGGTGTTTAAGGAGAGTTTAACGAAATTTTTTGTATGGTAAACTCCGAGTTTAAGAGTAGAGTTAAGGCTTAAACTCCAAAATGGCCCATAAGCACGAGTTAGTGGCTCAATGTCAATGCCTTATTAAGGAGCAGCAACATTACATCACCTTGGATGAGTCTCCCCTAATCCTTGCTGACTGTAAGGGAGTAATTAGCTACGGCTTTTACTCCATTACCCCCAAAACCCAAAAAGGGAATGAGGGTAAAATGAGGGTGAACCCGATGCTGACAGCCCTCCGCCTTAAGGCGGCCTTATATCTGGAGCAAAAAACGCCTTGAGCGGTCCTGCTTCTAACCAAGAGGTCCAGGAGGTTCTCGAGGCCACTTGCTCGGTGGTGAGGTCAGACTCGGCAGCGGAAATAGATAGTGGACGCCGATGATACCATCTTTGAGGCGTTCGATAGAACCCCGCCAGAATTGATGGACGGGGACGAAGTTTTATAAGCTGTGGATGAAGGTTCTACAAATAAACCGTCATCACTCTAAAGCAGCTTCTGCAGCTGTGCTCCTGATAGAGGGGAAGAGCTAGTTTTTGTCCACGAGCCCTGGGTTGTTAAGCACAGGGTTTGTGGTCTTAACTCTGATGCTTACCGCATAGTGTTGGCCCCTGTGGCAGGTAAAATCAGAGCATGTATATTAATCAAAAAGGTGCTTCTTATAATTTACTCACACAGTTCAGCGATGAAGACACGCTGAGCATCTCTGTGGAAAGTCAATCCACAACACTCTGGCTGGTCAGTACCTACATGGCCTACGATCGCCAAGACTGCCCTCCCGCTCGGTTACTGGACGTGGTGAAAGAAGCCAACTCGAAAAAGTTGCCCATAGTTATCGGGGCCGCTGCAAATGCGCATCATGCGGTATGGGGATCTACCGACATCAACCCCAGGGGTGAGTTGTTACTTGATTTTATATTATTATGTAATTTAGCCATCTGTAATATTGGTGATAAACCCACTTTTGTTAGGAAGGAGGTATTCGATATTACCTTAACGTCTAGCTCTTTCTTTGAGGGTATTAGGGAGTGGAAGGTACTGAACGACCATTCATTCTCTGATAACATGTATCTCTCATTTGTAATCTCCTTTGAACTTCCGTCCTCGGACGCTTACAGAAATAAGGGACGTACTGACTGGACTAAGTTTAGGAAAGTACTCTGAGGAATTTACTCAATAACGCTTCTCTCAGTAGGCTAGGCTTACTGTCACCTTCTGATGAAGCGGAGCCTTCTCTCGCAAACCTTGCTTCTCTCGGCGAGTTAAGCTCATCGGAACAAATTGAAGAAGCCACAATGGTGGAGCAAAGAAATCGCCTCTCTACGGAAATAAATCAGGAAACTCTTTAATGTGACAAAGCGCGATGGTTCTGGGACTGCATACAAGGCAGCCCTGAAGAAATTAAAAAATTCCACCAGTAAAGCTCAAAGGGACTCCTGGAAGAATTACTGCGAGAGTATAGAGGGCCAGTCGGAGGGAAATCGCCTGCGAAAGGTGCTTGCGAAAATTCCGACGAACCCGACGTATATTCAGAAACCAAATGGTGACTGGTCGTCTCTCGTGAGGAAATGCTTGAAGTCCTAATGAACGCGCACTTTCCTGAATCTTTATCTCTGAATGGCCATCGACTTCAGCGGACTTCATTGGTGTAAAAAGGGTAGACTGGGCCATAAAGTCCTTCCAGCCCTACAAATCTCCAGGCATGGATGGTATTTGCCCTGCCCAACTTCAGTCAGCATCTGACGTTTTATGTCCGATACTTGTCTTAATCTATAAGGCTTGTGTTAAACTTAGCTTCATACCAAGGGCGGGACCCTGGCGAAAGTTGTTTTTATTCCCAAGGGAGGTAGACTCTCCCAGTTAAACCAAGTGACTTTCGACCGATAAGCCTTACTTCTTTCTTTCTCAAGGTTCTGGAAATTGATGTAAATAATCTCGCTAGCTGCCAACAAGCCTACTGGAAAGGTAAATCTGTGGATACAGCTTTGCATAATATTGTCCGCACCATTGAAAGGCTTTCGCTTTTAAGGAAATTGCACTAGGCGTGTTCCTAGATATCGAGGGTGCCTTCAATAATGTTCTCCCGGGAGCAGTTCTTCAAGCCCGAATTCGCCTTGGGCTGGATCACCCTATGGTCGAGTTGGTTCATCGCCTCTTAGGCAGTAGAGCTATTTATTCGGAGATGGGGCAGGTATCTATAACAAGATATGCAAGTCGCGGAACCCCACAAGGTGGTGTTCTCTCCCCACTTCTTTGGAATCTAACGGTGGATACCCTGCTGTCACGGTTGCAAGGTACAGGTTGCCAAGTCATAGTTTACGCGGATGATCTTGCCCTGACGGCAATTGGTAAGTACCCCCAAGTTCTATGTGACTTAGTTCAAAGCGCCTTACGCGTCGTGGATACCTGGTCTAAAGAAGTAGGACTTAGTGTCAATACGGCAAAAACGGCCATGGTTCTGTTTTCAAAGAAAACGAAAGCTGTCCGGCTACAACCTCCTTCCTTGAACGGTATCGCACTGACTTTCCCGGAGGAGATTAGATATCTGGGCGCTATTCTTGACAAAAAGTTAAATTGGCGGCGCAATATAGAAGAGCGCTACAAGAAAGCTATAACTGCTATGTATGCCTGTGAATCGGCGATTGGGAAAAAATGGGGATTGCAGCCTCACATTGTGAACTGGATATACACAGCGGTTGTGCGTCCCATTCTATTCTATGGCATAACGGTTTGGTGGCCGTAGGTCCGTAGGTAAATCTATAATAAGAAACAAATTAACAGCGGTCCAAAGGGTGGTATGCATGACGGTCACGGGAGCGTTACTATCGACGCCGATTAAAGCCCTAGAGACCTTGCTTCACTTGCTACCTGTGGACCTATATGGTAAACTACAGGCAAGCTGTAATACTATTAGATAAAATGCACTAATCAAATGGAGTGACACGAAGTTTGGGCACTCTAGAATTTTGGAAGATCTTCCAGAGGACTTAAGGCGTCTGGACTACACAGTCCAGCCTACGGGACTAAAGAATCATTTCCAGACAAGTATCCCCTAAAGGGAAGAATGGGGGAGGATTCGGTCCTGGTCTCGTATTCT